TATCATTAATAAATAATCTCAAATGAAAAATTTTCACTAAAGATATTTTAAAATAATATAATATTAATATAAAGAACAACACTACTGGGTTGGCTCGAGCCCTCGAGATAGCTGGCTCGAGCTAAAGAAATCACTCTTTGAAGGTTTTGTCCTATAAATTTCATCAATCAAATGGTATTTTGCCTCTTTTCACAGGAGCTTCTCCACCAAGGAGGATTTGGATTCACTTTGTGCTCGCCAGTACTGGTGAGTGTGAGTCCTTTTTTTCATCTTGTAAGAGATTCTGGTGTTTCATCATGATTTGAATACATCTATACATGCTTGCTTGTTTTAATCATTTTTGGGTCATTTTATTAATAAATAATTAATAAAATTTATCATATTTTATTTATAATATTTATAAAAAAATAATTAATTATTAAAATAATTTTTAACTACAATTACAATATAATTCAATATAATTACAATATTTTATAATAATTTTAAATACACTCTGTTGACATAACAGAAAATTTTAAATATTCTTTTAAAATGTTGAAATTTTAATGGTTAATCAACTTATTATTACTTTTCTTTATTTTAGTTTTCTCTTTTTCTTTTTCTTTTTTTTTAAAAGAAATTTAATGTCTTTCTTAACTGATTCTTTTAAGAGAAGGCTGACGACAACGAGGCATTTGTCTGGGAGAAATCCACAAATTCCCCTTTTTTTATAAAAGAGAAGGCTTCCCATTTCCCAACCATTATTATCCTAATTAAAAAGAAAAAGAAAAAATTGAAAACTGATTCTTTTAACACTTTAGTTCCTCGACTCCAGCTCCTCGAGATCGAACCAGTATGGTGTCATCCGTGGTCGTCACTGTGATCTCCATGTCCGTAACCGCGTTTCTCTCATACCTGCCCTGGCACAAGGAGAATTATTTACCCTTTACCTCCAACAAGAAGAAAAAGAGGAAGAACCAAGAAATGGGGTTATCGATGCTGTTGGAAACAATCCCTTGACTCGCCTCAACAGTCTCTCTTAAGCTACTGGCTGCGAGGTTAATCATCTCTCTGTTAAAAATTTCATCTTTTGTTGATTTTTTGGTGTCTAGATGTTCTTCTAGTTCTTTTTTTTTTATTTTTTCTTTTTGAATTTGTGGGTTTTTTTTTTTTTGGCTGATTTTTGTTGTGTACATATTGATGATAAGAGCTGATAAGATAAGAGTCTCCGAGCCTCAAGCAGTCAAGTTAATGTTTTTCTTTCAATTTTATTATCTGAATCCTCTCCTTGTTTCTGTTCTGTCAGTGAGTAACATGTACATAGTCATATTTGATTTACAGATAGTTGAAGGATGGGCTAATTTGTTCTTATTTTCTTTCGGATTTGCAGATTCTTGGGAAGTGTGAGTTTCTAAACCCTGGAGGAAGTGTGAAGGATAGAGTTGCTGTGCAAATCATAAAAGAGGTAAACTATGTTTTCTCTGAGCTTGTGTTTTGGATTCTGTTTCATTTCAGATCACTCAGTACAGTCAGTCAGATGTGTTGAGATCTTATGGACATTGAAATCCAGATAATAATTGTAGGATTAAATTTCATGAAAGTTTTATGAAACAAAATAGAAAAGATTGAATTAAACATGATTTGTAAGAGGAGATTAGATTCATTTGGAGAAGATTTGGAAGTTCTCAAAGCGCTAGAGATATCTTCATGCGTGGGAGGTTTTTGTTGTTCATCTTCACTTTATTTGTCACTCATTGAAACTCAAGTGCATAAACAATTCATACTAGACCAATAAGAAGTGAAGTATAGATAACATTGAAAAATTATGAGTGGTAATATAGAAATAATTTTTTTTAATTTTTTTAATATAATTTTTATATATTATTAAATAAATATATTTATTTATTATCATAAATTTTAAATAAATAAATTAATTATTTATTTAAATAATAT